CTGCACAGCGAGGTGGAATTAAGGTTGCACGGACAGCCATAAATTGGACACTTCCTAACTTTGAAGTGCTTGACCATGCAATCTAAACGAGGGCTCTTCAGGGCAGTATTTCTGCGTGTGGCATTAACTGCGTTGGTCAGGGATGGCAAATACAGGGGTAGAGAAGCTGTAGAGCAGAAAAGACCTAGCAGACTATTGAAAGCGCTCGTTTGAATAGATGGGGGAGTCAACAGATCCTACACTTGATCTGAGCTAAATGGCCAAGAAGATGCCTCCAAGCTGAGAGGGGGAAGCCTTTGTTCCTCCAGCCCCAGCCTTGATGTTTTCTTTGCCTTCGGTTTTGCCTCATTCACTCCTAGGGAGGTTTGGGCTCCTGCTCTTGAGGAACCTTCAGCTTGCGTAGTGAATTTGTGTGCTTGTGAAAGCGAGGGTGTCCCTAGGAATGTGCACGCGCAAGCCGGCTCCTCTCGTCGCACCAGCAGACGTGTGCTACCAGCTCGCAGATACTTGCTGCTTGGCGTCCTTGCCTTGCCTTGCACACTCCCTCTTTCCAGCGTCGCTAACAGGAGCCATTGCACATGTTGGAGGGACAGGAGAGGCCTTTGTGTATTCCATAGGAGATCTAATCTCTTTTTTTAACTGCTGGAAGAATTACTTCGGAGGTGATTACATGCAACGCAGATTTATCTTTGCTTGAATTGGCTTTTTTTTGTTTTCTTTTTTCTTTGTTTACCGGGGGAGTTTCTCCATTCTGGCTTGCGATAAGACATTTGGCTGTCTGTTTTCTAGCGGAGTGGACTCTGGCTGAGCAAATTTGTCTGGGGAAGTAGGCAGTCTTTTGTTTTACTTTCCCAGGTGTAATGCAGTCATGGCCCCTTGCACATACCTTGTGCTGATACTGGAGCATTTTCCCCCGACCAGCGGTGTATTTGCCCTGGGTTATAATTATTTGAACTAGCGTTTGTGCCTTGTGGACTCCTGGAGCCTGATACCTGCCTGGGGCTGTTCCTGCATCGGCACAGGTATCTAAGTGTCCTGCGTTTGGGGTTCCATCGTGTGGGTATGGGCTTGTGTTTCATGAGCGTCTTTTTCGTAACTTTCCCCCTCTCTCCTGCATCTCAGTTCAGCAAAGGGCCTGTCTATCTGGATGCAGGCAATAAACGTCTGTTCTCACCCTGACTTCTGTTAATGAGATAGAGACAGGTAAGCATCACACATACCAACTTTCCTGCTCTCAGCAACATCAAGGAAACGGTGACAAGCTATTAATGGAAAGTGATGGTCTGGGTGCTAATTAGTGCTTCCTTTTCAACTTTTACCTACATGTCTGCCGAGATGCCCATCCCAGCCTCTCCTCTCTCCTTGCATCCCTTTGTTTCCAGCGCGTACCTTGTTCACCGCGCACATCCCATGTCGAAGAGGCTTCTCTCTTTATTTTTTCCCTGCCAATTGCTTTCTGCATCTCCTCATTCCCTTTTTGTGCCCTTTTCCCCTGGGTAATTGCCACCTGCACCCTCATTCTCTTGTGGTTGCTCCCAGCGAAGAATAAGCACGATATTGTAGCAGGATCTGAAAGCTTAGGGATGGGGCACATGAAGTCGGTCAGGAGTTTCTCATCTTCATCACCGGCTAGCAATATTCGCTTGTGGCACCAGTGCATGAGGTCAAATTACCCCAGGGACGTGAGGTCAGAGATCTGTCCCCTCTTCCCACAGGTAATGATGTAGGGAGGCTCCCAGCAGCTCACAGGTCTTGGTCATGGAGCAATTAGTATTTAAAGCGGATCCTCTGGTGATGCCCAGAGACCAAGTAGGACGGGCCTCCGCGGTGTGAACCTGCAGGAGATGACAGGTCCTACCCCAGAGAGCTTGCGGTCTAAACCCTAAATGATTTTGCTCCCCACCAGACCCCGTTAATGGCTGGTTTTTCAGATCCACCCCAACTTCTGCTGCTGCAGCAACATGATGCCCGGTCACAGCTTGGTGCCTGGTCTCTTCCGTTTCTCTTTCTCCTGGCCCCGGGGCTCTGCCCCTTCCCCAAGGACCCTAACTGTCCCCTTCTCACTTCTTTTGCACGGGCTGTGGGTTTCTTGCTGCCAGGCTTGTGTCCCAAGGAGCTGCCTAATCTGCCCCTGTCATTCCCAGTCACAGGCCCCGCACACACCGTAGCTTTATGGGAAGTGCTTGCAGGGCAGTGGGAAGAGGCAGCCGTGGTTTGCACATTAGCTAATTAATTTTCATGACTGAACGATGCTGCCTGGTCTCTTGTTTATACTCCTCGACGCTCCCCTTCTCCCCCCTCCTCGCTGACACACACACAAGACGACACATCTCGTACAAACGTCAGCATCCTTCCACAGCCTTGAGACGCGAGCGGTTATTCTGTTGGCTTGTCAAACGCGGGTTTCCCTGCTTCATGGTACACAGGGGCCCCCTGTTTCACATTTGCTGATTCTTATTAGACCCAGAGCACCAGGGCCCTGTCTCTCCCCGCAAAGCAACGCGCCGCATCCCATCCATAAATCCAACCCTGGAACAAAGCCTCCTCTACCCTGCCCCATATTTCTACCCAGCCTGCCCGCTTTCCCCTCTCTCTCTCTCTCTCTCCCCCTTTCCCGTGCTGAAGGTTTCCTAGTGCCAGGGAGATATGATAATTCTTGTGAAGAGAGCATGAAATGCCTCTGCTCTTTGTGTCTGTTTAATTCAATGAGAATCCCAGCCCCAGATGTCATGAATGGTGGGCTTTGTGCTGGCCCTTCCTAAGCCCTAACCGCCAGCCCTGCTCTCTGTCTTTCTTGTTTCCCACCACTGGATACTGATTAACAAACTAAATTATTTTTCCTCCCTAATGATGTTTTCCCACTTTGCCCATCAGGCTGGAAGAAGCCACGGGGAGGAAAGAGTTTGTGCAAAGGATGAGATAGCCAGGGAGAAAATTAAAGAGACAGTGTTGCTCTCTGGGCTCTGGCAACACAGGTCCGCTCGGCTTTATTTCCTTATTAGAGAACGGGGTTGTGTCTGGCTGTATTTTACGTGGCTGGGTGTATTTCAGCCGAGGGGACGGGCTTGAAAGCATCCACACAAGGTATGCTCTGAAGCATGCCAAGGTCCGTAACTCACTTGCAATTCTGCGTGCGAGTTTGCACAGTCCCAAATTTAAGGTCTCTTTTCCAGCCATGAGTGACATTTGGTAATTACTTGACATCCATACATACATATGGGAGCCTCTTTCTAATTGAGATAAATTCTCTTTTCCTTAATCAGACATGACTGCGAGTTCGCGGAGTGGGATGCCTTGGGAAGGGCTGGGACGTCTCCACCCGAGCAAGGAGAGGTGAGTCCCTGGGAGTCTTGCTGAAGGATCGAGTCCAACTCGTGCATGGGAGACCAGCTCTTTTACCTGATCCCTCCCTCCCGCAGCCAAATTTCCCAGCCAGGCTTTTGAAACAGGGCCAGTTGTTAGCTGCTGCTAGAGAAGGCCAGCAGCGATAATCCAGGGAGCCTGGACGGAGCTGGAGGCAGGTGGCCAAGGCAGGTCCATGCAAAGCCACCTGCTTCCTGGAGCCCAGCAGTGCTTCCTTGCGGGGCACCAGTGAAGCTGTGGCCAGCAAACACCCTCCTGGAG